CACTGGGGATTGAGTCCACAACCCGGGCATGTGCCCTGACCGGGAATTGAACCGCAATCTCCTGGATCCTAGGTCAATGCTCAACCACTTAGCCACACCGGCTGGGCAGCCAGCTTATTTAAGAAAGGGTTTAATGATTAATCTTAGCTCTGTTTTAGTGTTAAAACGTTTAACTCCTTTTTTAAGTACTTAGTATGTTCCAGGCATTGTGATAGGCTTGGGGGAGTTGGAGAACATGGGTGCTGCCCTTGAGCATCTTATAATCTAGTAGGGGAAATAATAACACATGTCATGCCCAGCACATAAAGCAGTGAAGAGGGGCATAGGATGCTGTGAGAGCTCACGGGGTTGACACCTAACTCAGACTGAGGCTCAGAGGCCGATTCCCAGAGCTCAGAAACTCAAGGGTGAGGAGGCCTGATCCCCATGAAGAATGGGCTGGGGAATTTCAGGCGCGGGGAAAAGCATGCACAGAGCACAGACAAGAGGCACGACAGTTAAAAAACGGAGGTTTTGTCATTGGCGTCTGGGACATAGCAAAGACATGGTGAGAGATGAGGCTGGGTAGGGGGCAGTTGAAGCTTGTTTAACCTAAAAAATGTGTATCCTGGCCTAGCTGGTTTGCTCAGTGGTTAGGACACTGGCCACAGACTGAAGGGTCTCGAGTTTGATTCCAGTCAAGGGCACGGACCTCCGTTGCAGGAAGGCAACCGATCGATGCATCTCTCATGTCGATGTTTCTCTCCCTTCCACTCTCTGAGAGACACTGGGAAGAAATATCCTCTGGTGAGGATTAAAGAAAAAACAAAGTATATCCTGTTCTGAAGGCAATGGGGATCTGTCGAGCGAATGTAAGCAGAGAGCGGCTTCAGTAAAATGGATTTTACAATGTCATCCTGGAACTAATTACAGAGGGTAGATTGGCCGGTAGAGAGCAAGCAGAACTGAGGCGAGGAGTGGGTTAGAGACCCTTTGGATAACCTGGGGACAGAATAAGGAGGACCCGAAGGGATGGGGAAGGACAGGATTAGGAGCTGCTCGGGAGGTAGAATTACGTGGCCCCAGAAATGGGTGTCGTGGGGGTGAAGGGGAAAGAGGAACCTGGAAGTAACCCCGGGCAGATGGGGGAGGAGGTACCATTCACCCAGGTAGAGAATTAGAATAGAGGGGAATGGATTTGGAGCCGGGGTGGAGAGAAGGTGATGATTTTCTCCAGTGCAGCAGACTGCATGAGAAATGTGCTCCGAGTTGCAGTGTGTGATTCCAGGAACACATCTCCCTCCACCACACTGGCAACACCCCTGCGCTTGACTCCTGTTTTTCTGGGCAGGCAGCACTAGGACTTCCCCAGCTACAAGCCATTGGAGGTGGCTCCCTTGGCGTAGGGGTGGCTAAAGCAGTGTGAGGTAGGACGGGAAGCTAAGGTGGAGAAACGCAAATAGTAGTAGAATAGGGAGGAGCCTGAGAAATTATAAGCGATGTTAAAGAACTAAGGGTAAGAAAACCAAGGCTTCTAGTTGGATACTTCAGGACAGTGTTCGTGACCGGGGTGATTTTGCCCTCTAGGCACTTGTCATTGTCTGGAGACACCTTTGATTGTTGTGACTGGCATCTGTGGACCGGTGGGCAGAGGCCAAGGTTGCTGTTGAGTATAGAATGTTAATCATTCTATAATACACAGGACAGGCCCCCACAACCAGAAATTCAGCCTAAGATGTCAATAGCGCTGAGACTGAGAAACTCTGCTTTAGGTCCTGACATCAGATCCCTAGTCTTGCCTTTTGAAAAAATACTGTCAGCCAGAGATTGCATCCTCAGCACCTCTGAGGTCACCTCTGTGGCTGTGTGTGGAGCAGAATATATACTTACTCACAATCTCTAAAACAAGCACACAGGCCATTTGAGGCTTTCTACTGCTGGAGTTATGGGGAAGTTGAGTAAAATGTTTCCCTTCCTCCATGCTTTGCTATCTACTTATTCTTTCACTTGTTTACTTAACTGTTTATATATTTACATTTAGAATTCCTATAAAATAGTACATAGATACTTTGTATCCATGGGGAGACCAAGATACCAGGTAAGCTTGTGTGGGACATCAGTCTGTGATTGTTATGCAACAGCCAGCAGAGGGAGGAGGGTAGGGAGTGGGGCCACATGAACCCCGTGCTAGGGTGAAACGAGGGAAGACGTTGGCGAGGAGACTGATGCTGGAAGTAGAGGAGAAAGGTGGAAAGGATGTGGAGAGGGGGCTTTTCTGGGAAAGCTGCCTGAAGTTTGTAATTACGGTTTTCTGCATCACATTCTGGAAATCACTGTTTCAGAGACTCCAAAGGGAAGGAAAAGAAAACCCAGAAAAACACAACCAAAAAAACCAGTGGAACCCAAAAAACCTGCCGAGCCCAAGAAATCTGCCAAGTCCACAAAATCAAAAGAAAAGCAAGAAAAAATTACAGACACGTTTAAAGTAAAAAGAAAAGTTGACCGTTTTAATGGTGTTTCAGAAGCTGAACTTTTGACCAAGACTCTCCCAGACATTTTGACCTTCAATCTGGACATTGTGATTGTAAGGATGTTTGTTCTCATTTGGTTTTGTAAATAATAGCATTGGTGGATTAACTTAACCTTTACCCTTGCAAATAATTTTGCAGAAAAGAACTGTTTCTAAGAATTCTTTTGGTAGTAAATGAGGTTACCCCTCATAAGGTTGTATTATTTGGGAGTGTTTAAGGGGGTGGGCTCCAGAGTGGGCTGTCTGCTGTCCATCCTGCCACATGGGTATGACCCTAGACAAGCCTTAACCTTCCTGAACACCAGTTTCCTCCTTGGTGAAACAGGGGTGATAATAGTACCTCCTTCATAGGGTTGCAATTAAATTAAATAATCCACGTAACTCCTTTAGACTTCTTGGCATCTGTGAGTTCTCCATACATGATAACGCTGATTTCAAACTTTGATTTTTTACTGTAATTGTAAGAAACTTCAGCATGCAAACAGCTGTGTGGGTGACATGGAATTAGCTGCTTGCCTGGAGTTGAGAAGCAGACTTGTGACTGGACCTGGGCTCCAACTGACTGATTGCTCCAGAACCTCTTTCTTTCCAGCCCAGTTGGGTAGGGCTTGGGATATGAGGGAATCAAACTGGTTTTTAAAAACCACAGCAAAACTTTCAATATGAAGGAAATTCCTTTCCTCAGAATGGTATACTTTGTTCAGGTAAAGACTAGGTAGTTGATAAACAATACTGCTTATGATGGCAGATTAAATTTTTATTTTAATATATTCAGTTTTGTCCACCACTCCACAGAAGCCCTAAGGCTTAAACCCTACTAAAATGTATACATTTTTTTTTAGATTGGCATAAACCCAGGACTGATGGCCGCTTACAAAGGGCATCATTACCCTGGACCTGGAAACCATTTCTGTAAGTAGTTACTTTTTTATTATTATTTTACTTTTAAACTAGATATCTTTGTTAGTAGTTTGGGGTTTTTTAAAAACAAAATTGTGTTTTTAATATGAGAGATTGTATATATATAAATATACATACATTTGTTCTGTGTGTGTATATACAGAAAAGGTTTGGAGTGACATGTCACTTAGCATTTTGGTTTATGAGAGTCGAGGGGCATGAAAAGGATGACTTCCTCTTTTGCTTGAATTGTTTCAAGTGAGTTTTACTACTTTTTTAAAGGATTGTTTTTAAGTTATCTACAGACGTAGCAATAGTACATCATTGTACCAGTGCAGAACACTGACCTTGCCCAATTTCTGCTGATCACGTTTCCTAGGAGAGATGGAATACTTGATCATTGCCAGTCCAGTTAAGTGCTATAACTGGGGACATGCTCTACAGATACTTCGTGTCCAGCAGAAAATAGCATCAAAACCTTCATACTAGAGTGAGCTTTAAAACCAAGTGTGACTACTGTTGTATTGTCCTGCGTACAAGGTTTCTCATGCCTAACAGAGCGAGGCATGCTGTAGGCCCTCAGGACATGCTAGCTGATTATCTAAGAGTAACACGAAACACAGTTAGGGTGAATGATAGTAATGTGTTTTTGGAATGAATAGCATATTGTCTCCATTATTAAAACTTTTTTTTTTCTAGAGAATTTTCAGCTTTTCATTTCTCCACTGTCAAGGTGTTTGAATGTCCTGAGTTCATCAGAGTATGTTTATCTGTTGGAGGTATTCTGGGGCAGGTGGTGATACCACCAGTTATTGGAAAGGAGAACTGTTTCAGAGTTTCCTACACTGACTAGCTGGGTACTCTCAACAGGCATTTACCTTAACCCTCTATGAAAAGGGAATAATAATAGTAATATCTCATAAAATAATTAGTATAATTGAGATATTACGTGCAAAGTGTTTAGCATAGTACCTAGAATATAGTAATTGCTTGATATGGTAATTGACCTATGTTATAATCTGTTGGGTTTTTTAAATTTCAAGAATAGGATATAGGCTAACACATCAACTCATAGAGCAGGAACCTTTGACCTTCTGTGGAAATAAACTGTCTTTTTCACAGGGAAGTGTCTGTTTATGTCAGGACTGAGTGAGGTCCAACTGAACCATATGGACGATCACACTTTACCAGGGAAGTATGGTATTGGATTTACCAATATGGTGGAAAGGACAACACCAGGCAGCAAGGATCTTTCCAGGTGATTACATAACATTTATTTGTATAGGTCAGAACCCTGATTACGCTGGTGCCTCATACACTCTAGGAATACCGTATGTGCTAGTTCAGGCTGGGCCTAACAAACAGTATGTGAATTGGTCTTTCATTGAGAGCTCTGTAAATTTAGTATATTATAAATATCACCATACTTATATTTTGATGACCTTTTAATTTAATTTTAGTAAAGAATTTCGTGAAGGAGGGCGTATTCTTGTGCAGAAGTTACAGAAATATCAGCCACGAATAGCAGTGTTTAATGGAAAATGTAAGGTTCGCTTTTAAATTTTATATGTTTTCTTTACTAACATTATGGGCAATGTAAATATGTTTGTGTTTCATTTTAGGTATTTATGAAATTTTTAGTAAAGAAGTTTTTGGCGTAAAGGTTAAGAACTTAGAGTTCGGACTTCAACCCCATAAGATCCCAGACACAGAAACTGTAAGTCCTTAAAGTTACATTTGTAAATCAGCTAAATATGAATTTTCTTCTAGCTAGTTTACCTTTTTTATTCGTTCTATCCATTGTAATTTATGCCATGAAAAGAAAAACACTGTATTTTGTTGAATAATATGTATATATCAACTTAAACTAATAGTTATAAATTAATTTAGATACTGATATATTTTTGTTAGAAAAAAGAAACATTTGTCAGATGAATGTCTTAATGGTGTTATGTTACTTGGCTAAATATTAAGAGGACCTGGCTTACATACTACATTTAAAATACATTTAATGGGATATTCTTATCAAATTCAAGTTGGTTAGCCCTTACTCAGTTGTGAAACAGACATATAAATATAGGCATCCTGATTAGTAGAACTATAAGTGCCGCTCTTATATGTATTAGCCCACTTTTGTTTGAGAGCCATATAAATAGTACAACCCAGTTGCAGACACATGCAGCCAACGTGACTGGCACACAGTACTATTGTCTTACACATAAAGGCGTCATGCAATAGTACAGTGGTTTTCAAACTATGATTTCTGCAGACAGTTTGGTTCAAATTTTTCTTCTTAAATATAGTTTTTAAAAATATGGTTTTATTGATTTTAGAAGGAGGAGGAGAGAGAAACATGGATCACTTGCCTCCCGTACGCAACCTGACTGGGGACCGAACTCACAACCAGGGCGTGTGCCCTGACTGGGAATATAATGGGTGAATTTTGGTGCACAGGACGGTGTTCAACAAGCTGAGCCATGCTGGCCAGGGCTTATAGTTTTAAGTTTTGTTTACAACTTTTTACAAAACAACACCCATGCACAGACCCATGTGTTACAGAGAGCATTTTAAATGATAGAGAAGCCACTGTGCTGATAGGTTTTTATGGAAACCTCAGAATAGTTTCTGCTACCTACATATATCTGACCTTCTGCTTTTTAAATTTCTTCAGTGTTTAACTTGCTGTAAATATGTGATTGATAAAGTAGATTGTAGCAGTGGTCTTTCTTTAAATTGAGGCCTATCCTTGTCTGCTCGGGTAAAATTGTACATATGAGTTTGGTACTTCCTATTGAGTTCTGCATGACTGTCCCTTAGATGCCAGATGAGGCTCAGGCATGTGAGCTGCATGGATGTGTGATCATAGTAGTGCAGTAGTAAGTGAACTTAAATCATATCATAGGTAGTTTCAGTTCTTAAAATGAGCTGTGAGTACATTTATTTTTAAAATTTATTCTTTATCATGAAATATTCACTTAATGGTACGGTTGGTGATTCAGCTTTGAAACAAAAAGAAAATTCTCCTTTTTCAGATTTCTGGATCACTTTAGTCGAAGAATATTTTGAGATTGGAAAATGTGCTGTTACAAACCTGGTAGCATTTGCACCTACATATCACTGTTTCATAAACAAAACAAAATAATAATTTTTTTTTTCTGTAATATGTGATAAGGAGGACAATTTAAAAATCGCAATAATTGCCCAGCCTGCTTGGCGCAGAGGTTGAACATTGAGGTTTAATCCCGGAGATCGAGATTAGATTCCCGGTCAGGGCACATGCCCGGGTTGCAGGCTTGATTCCCCAGCAGGGGGTGTGCAGGAGGCAGCCAATCAGGGACTCTCATCATTGATGTTTCTCTCTCTCCCACTCCCTCTCCTTTTCTCTCTCTGAAATCAATAAAAAATATATTTAAAAAATAAAATAAAAATCACAGTAATTGTTTCCCTGGCGGTGTGGCTCGGTTGATTGGAGCATCATCCCATATACTGAAAGGTTGTGGGTTTGATTCCAGGTTGTGGGTTTGATCCCCAGTTGGGGCACATGTGGGAGGCAGCTGATCTATGTTTCTCTTTTGCATCGATGTTTCGGGTGAGGATTTTAAATATATACACACACATACATATATATTTATGGCAAAAATTGTCATTGGAAATTCCATAATATGCAGTTTCACTCTTTTATGTATAAGAGATATGTTGTTAGAAGTTTTGTTATGCTCTGTGCAGAACAGTTTGTCACCATTATCCAAAATGATAAATGCAAATATCTTTCTCCCTAGCTGTTCCACTTTTAGGAATTTATCCAACACATACTCTAAATTAAATATGTACAAAGTTTTTTACAGCTTACAATATTAAAAGATGGGAAACAACCTACATCCCCACAGTTTGGCTCTGGCTAAATAAATCTGAAAATGGAAGGGCTTTTTGCTCTGACATGGAATTCTCTCACAAGCAAGGTGCAGTATGGAGAACAGAGCATGCTACCATTTGTGGGTGTTTTAAAAGGGGTGAGGGAGAATATTTACTCAGACACATTTGCTTGTATAGTTGTTGGACTTCCTCTGAGACTTGTGACCTTCATTGCCCTTGAGGAAGAGAGTTAGGTGGACAGAGACAGAACTGGGAGGGAAGGCTGCATTGTAAACTTACATGGCCTTTTCTACCTTTGCAGTTGTGAGCCACATAGTTGAAAAGACTGTTCATTGATAGATGAACACGGGAGGGGGAAAAGCCCTTGTTTTTGATTATTAACTTTGTAATATGTAAATATTACAAATTTGAACTCAAACACAACTGCTTTTGTTGATCTTACATATATTGCTATGTGGTCAGTATCAAGTTATTAACCCAAAGATAATAGATTTCTATAACTATGAATTTTGATTCTAGCTCTGCTATGTGATGCCATCATCCAGTGCAAGATGTGCTCAGTTTCCTCGAGCCCAGGACAAAGTTCATTACTACATTAAGCTGAAAGACTTAAGAGATCAGTTGAAAGGCATTGAACGAAACACAGATGTTCAAGAAGTTCAGTATACATTTGACCTACAGCTTGCCCAAGGTGTGTCACTGTTATTGCTCCCTGTTTTCATTCTATGTATATATACACTACAGAAAGTGTGCTGTGGATTTAAAAGCAGGAGAAAAGAAGGCAGTTATATTTGCAGCCAGAGTGCTCTGATAATGGCTGTTAGTCACGGTTTAAACCTCCTTTTACTAAGGTCTTCCATCTACGTTGGTGCTCCTACAGATGTTGAGGATACAAGAAACAGTATAACCCACCTAAAATGAAATCTCACAGGCTGTAACAGTTCCAATGAGCTAATGTAGTATATGTTACAAAGAGTGCAAAAGATTATGTATAGCAAAAGATGTATTTCCATGCATGAACATTCAAGAAAAAGATTCCTTCATCATGATTCCTGAATAAAGCTGTTTTGGAAAATTGTTGTATAAAATCGATTTTAAATCCCTTTCACCCTCCTCACAGAGGATGCAAAGAAGATGGCTGTTAAGGAAGAGAAATACGACCCGGGTTACGAAGCAGCATATGGTGGTGCTTATGGTGGAGATCCGTGCAACAGTGCACCTTGCAGCTTCTCTTCGAATGGGCTAAGTATGTCCCTCCCTATGTTTGTCCTTTCAAAGACTTGCTGTTGTCAGGATTGGGGGGGTAAGCTCTTTAAAAAGGGTACATTATTGAAGAATGAGAATTATAAAAGAAAACTCTGGTTAGTGACATAGAGAAAATGGTTATTTAATGTTTACCTGTGCAAATGTACGGCTCGTTTTCTGTAGTCACTAACTGTAGTAAGTCATCTTAGTCGCGTTTTCCCCCTTGAATAACAAGTGAGGATTTATTAGTCCTGCATCTGAAAATAAAACAGAAACTCACTGTATTCAAGAAACTTGCTTAACTATTATAATAACAGCTCTCCTTCAGTGGACAGTTAACATCTCCTAATTTGATCATTTAAAGCTTTTAAATGGAATAAACTAACACTCTCCCCCCTGCTCCCCCGCAGCTGACAGTGGAGAATCAGCCTTCGGTGATGTTCCAAACGGGCAGTGGATGGGCCAGTCGTTTACAGACCAGATTCCTTCCTTTCATAACCACCGTGAGACGCAAGAGCAGGAGGAAGGAAACCATGCTTAAGCACGGTGCTTCCCAGCTCAGCTCAGATGCTGCAGTTTTAATGCAGTTGTCAAGAAGTGGCCCTCAGTTTGCTAACTGAAGTGTTTTACGAGTGTTTTCCTCTGGTGATGTAACCATAGTACAGTTGTGTGGTAGAATCAACTGTATGAACCTGTGTAGTTTGGAAGGAACATTCAGGATTTTTTGTATATGAGTTTTTATATTTGAATTAGCCATCATTCCAGCATTTTATAGAGCCTTTTTCATTTATGAAGAAATTGATTTTCTTTTGGGAGTCACTTTTAATGTGTAATTTAAAAATGCAGCAGTCTCAATATTTATATTTGATTATAAATTGTGCATAAACCTAGATATACCATTATCCCTTTTATGCCCAAGAAGGGCATGCTGATAATAAGAATTACCGCTGGAAAAGAGGCACAAGTGTTCATTTTCATGCAAATTACACCTCAGTGGCGGCGTCACACTCAGACCTCTTTACCACTGGTGGTCGTTTGTGAGGGCTGCTCACTAGTTCTCATGTGGAGCGTGGCCTTGCAGCGGCAAGACTGACCTGGCCTTACCCGACAGGGATTGAACCCTGGCATCGGCCTCCTCGCCCCGCGTGTTAATCCTCTAATAGGCAGACACTTCTGCTGGGATGGTGTACTCCAGAGAATGCACTAGACCTTTTAAATTTTGTTACTTCGTCTGTGTTTTACTTGAGAGACATATACGTGATAGGGAAGGAACGGAATTTCTCTTTCGATATCTCCATCACCATTGTCCTCAGCTTTAAGGATGTAACATAACAAGTGAGAAAAGAACTTTCAGGCTGAGTACAAAATGCTGGAGGTGTTTGATAATCGTATTTAAACTGGTGCTTTATGTACATGAGATGTACTAATATAAATAAGAGAAATTTTCTTGCTAGTTAAATCTAATAAGCCAGTAATTTAAGAATTATTTCTGTACATCATTGTTCTTTGTTACTGTGGACTAAGTTAACCTTACGGCAAGGTTAGTTTAAATTAATGTACCTTTGTGATCTTCTAATGCATTTTCCAAGGTGCTACAAATAGTCCAGACTGCTGGGCCTGGCAGATACAAAGCTGGGTATTTGGAAATGCCATTTGCATTTACTCCTGATCACTTATACCCAAGGAGCATGCTTTTCCATATGAAAATATTTATCAGGTGGTCTTTTTCGTCTAAAAGGTTATTATATGGCCTGTTCCTTTTTTATAGTAAGAGAAACAAATTCTTGTTGTGAATCTTAACATGCTCTTTAGCTGTGGCTGTGATGGGTTTTATCTTTAGTCTAGATCAAGCTGTGTAAAAGTCATTCATGTGATTTGAATCATGTACTGTACTGCTGTTTACATGGATGTTTTGTGCGGGTGCTTTGAAGTGCCTTGCATCAGGGACTTGGAACAATTGAATTATTTTTTCATGGGACTGTGTAAAGCATGGAACTAGGTATTGCTTTGGTATATAATAATTTGTAGCCTTACAATAGATTTTTTTTATTTAAGTGGAGATAAAAAACCAACTTTTAAATTATGGACGACACTTACTAGAGAATGGGTTTGAGGATTTTCCAAGCATACAACAACGATGTTTTCTCATTAAATATGACAGGTAGTAAATGTTGATATACGTATACATGACAATATGAGACTTTTTCATGAAATAATATTGAAAGTTTTTAAATTCCTTTGAAAGTCTGATGGTTTTTACAATTAAAAATATCAGAACAATTATCCTCATGCTGCAGGCGTTTCTGTATCAAGGCTTATTGGTGTTCTTTCGCCCTTTAAACCTGAGAGCAATTTACCTTCTATTGTATTTAACATACAGAATACCACATTTGGTGAAAATCATTAAAAAATCTGTGACTATTTTATTTTTTAAAAATATATTTTTATTGATTTCAGGGAGAGGAAGAGAGAAGGAGAGAGAGAAACATGAATGATGAGAGAGTCATTGATCGGCTGCCTCCTGCACGCCCCCTGCTGGGGAATCAAGCCCGAAACCCGGGCATGTGCCCTGACTGGGAATCAAACCTAGATCTGGATCCTAGGTGGATGTTCATCTGCTGAGCCACACCAGCTGAGTCTGTGACTATTTTATTTTTTCAGACATTCATGTTTTAAATGTATTACAAGAGCCAAGACTGGCAACCTGTTAAAAAAAATACCTCCATGTGAAAAATACATGTAGAAATTTTTAAAATTTTTAGATATAATTGTCACTGAGTTAAGCAAATTGATTGCTGAAACCTAGATGGGTTTATTTCTTTCCAACAATATATTTCACTCACATAATCTTGAGTTTCATAATCACCACTTGTACTTCGGGAAGTACATCAATACCTGTGTGATCCAAGGTACTATTTGCTCACAGTAACCTTTGTTTCTTATATTGTGGGTCATATGCATCACAGATACTGTTCATAAGGAATGATGTTGTAGTAGGCTGCAAACGGACAGTTCCACGTTTTTATACAGGAAATATCTAAAATTTCAAGTTATATCAGCTGTTGTGCTGATTGAGTTTAAATATCCCTGCAGGGTCAGGAACAAACCAGCTTTCCCATAAGTCGTTGTGAACGCTGGGGAAGTCCCAAGGTTTATGTCTTCCATTCCAGTGGAGTAATTTTGCTTCTTGCAGAAAATGCTCCGAATATCTGGTATCTGGACTCCAGCCTTTATTGTGTTTGGAGAAAAATAATAGGTTTGTTAGAAAATAAAATTTTATATATTAAAATTTGAATATAAGTTCATTATAAAAAAACTAAAACAAATCAAAGGGCATACAATGAAGAGTTTACCACCGAACCTAAATCTCCAAAATGGCCATGGTTTGAGTTTCTCATGAAATCCTTTCAGTAATATCCTACCTGTACACCAGTATGTATGTGTGTGTATATGTTATGTATTTGTATATATATGTACACATGCATATTATACATGTATTTTTGAAATTTATTTGTAACTTGCCTTTTAAAATTACTCTTAGGGAACTTTCCACAGTTGCACATATGGATTACTAAATTATTTGTCGTGACTACAGAGTGCATCTATGATTATTTATTTAGCGAGTTTCTTCTGAAGGACATTTAGGTTCTTTCTGTCCCTTTATTAGAAAAAACAATTCTACAGTGAACAATCTCCAAGCATGTCTTGTGCATGTATACAAATACAGGGTGGGGCAAAAGTTGGTTTACAGCCCTGGCCAGGTAGCTCAGTTGGTTAGAGCATCATTCCTGATACGCCAAGGTTGTGGATTTGATCCCTGGTCAGGGCACATACAAGAGTCAACCAATGAATGCATAAATAAGTGGAACAACAAATATTGAGGTTTTTTTTTCTCTCTAAAAAATATAATAAAAATGTGGGTTTTTTTAAAATATATCTTTATTGACTTCAGAGAGAGGAAAGGAGAGGAGAGAGCAAGACAAACGTCAATGATGAGAGAGTCGTTGTTCGAGCGCGCAACCCGGGCATGTGCCCTGACCGGGAATCGAACCTCGACCCCTTGGTTCCTGGATGGACGACTCAATCACTGAGCACAGCCGGCTGGGTCAGACCCACTTTTTAACATCTGTCTCCATCGGAATATCATTCCCCTCCTAAGTAACCACTAGAGACTGTATACATTTACCCTAATATTGCTGTGGCTAAGAATATGTTTAGTTACCTCTTCCAAAAGTACGTAATGATCTTGAGAATGTAAATCGCTTTTTAAATATCCTTTAAGGTGTTAAATTTTTCTTTTTTGTAAGAAAGGAAATTTCATTTTTCTATTTTTTTAGAGAGAGAGGAAGGGAAAAGGAGAGAGACATTGGTGTGGGACCAAAACATGCATCAGCTGCCTCCCGCACGCCCCTACCAGGCATCACGCCCGTGGCCCAGGCTGTGCCCGCAGCCTTTCTGCGCGCAGACAACACCCAACCAACTGAGCCACACTGGCCAGGGCTGTGATTTGATATTTTCGAGAAACAGCAGCCCATTGAGTAAAGAGAGAGTGAATAGCTAGGGTTACATTATTCTAGTTTAACAAATGATGTAAGAACAAAGCAAAATCCTGCCTATTACTCATAAGCAGCGGAGGAGGTGGTTTGGGGCTCAGGGTTCCAGGTACCGGGGAACCTGCACAGAGGAGACGTGCGTTTGGGGAGAGGGGCCTCCCTGTGACGAGCCTCACTAAGAAGGATGTCCTCTCTCTGCTCTACAACAAGGACTGGAGGGCTTGCAGTTTTGCCTTTAGCTAAATATGTTTCATAAGTTTTTAATATTTTAAGCCTGCCCATTTAAACCCAAACTTGATACCCAGTTAGCACTGCATTGCTTTCTGCTTTCAGAACACTCTAAAACCAAGTTATTTTTCAAATGATCACTGTTCAGATTTACTTTGTAGACCATCCCTGATTTCAAAACCCTCAGCACAGAATAGGTTCCTTTCTACAAAGAAAAATGACTTCTCTCCCTGGGAAAGATTCTACCCCTTTCCACTTGTCAGTAAGTTAGGTATTTCATAAGATGTAATTCTGGGTCTCTGTTCCAAGATCATAAAATGCTCTAAACTTATCGATCTAAGCTCCATATAGCTGTTCCTACATAACATTTTTTATAGACATTCACTTTAATGGGATTTTCTGCACATTCATTACATTGAAATGTTGATATTTGACCTAACAGTGAACCCAACATTAATATAAATCAAATCGGGTGGAACAATAGTGTCCTTAACTTCCCTGTGTCGCTTTTATGTGCATACAGATGCTCAGGAAAGTCAAGAGAGTATCTGGGAATGAGCAGAAGCAATCCATCAGAATCACTAAGAGGAGACGGGAACCCAGCTTCCACAGTTTTGTCTGTCTTTTCTTCTAAAAGGAAGAGTAAGGGAAATACCACCTTATAGGATTGCTTTCAAAATTAGAAATGATGTTCACCTTTATCATCAGAACTTCGCCCAGTGCCTGGAAATGCAATGGGCACTTGGTAAATGTAAATCCGTAATCCATTGTCTCCAATTCTAAAATAATCCCCAGTTTGAGTGAACATGAATGTCTCCATGCCTGGCTCTTTTCTAAGCAATATACTTGTGTTTGGTAATTTATTCCTTGTAAAAACTGTAAAGTTCCATTAGCTTCAGTTAACGAATGAAGAAACTAAGGCGGAGAGGTTGAGTAGCTTGTCCAGGATCATGGCTAACAGAATTGGGATTCCAGCCTGCACCCTAGGGCCTGCCCTCCTGTGAAGAAGAGTGACTGCACAAAGGACACCCTCCGTAACAGCTTTTCAAAAGGTGCATTGCCAGCCGGGGCTCCCATCTCCTGAACACCAAGGGGTGTCAGATTTGATCTCCTGCCGGGGCACATGCAGGAGGCAACGGATGGATGTTCCTCCCTCTCTCTCTCTCTCTCTCTCTCTCTCTCACTCCCCCCGCTTCCTCTCTCTAAAATCAATAAAAAGCATATCCTAGGGTGAGGGGGAAAAAAAGATACATTGCCGGTTATACAAATGCATCACAAGCTGTTATGCTCACTCGCTCGGTTTAGTCCGCTGTAGGCCACTGCAAGAGTTCAGTGATGGCATGTGAAAGTTTTGACAGTGAAAGTTCTAATAGTTCAGGTTTTTCCTGCACCTACTGTATGTATGCTAAGGGTGAGGCTAATTGCTTTCCATGAATTCCTAGAAGCATGCCTCTCAGGTAGGCCGTTTTCATCAGTTGCTTTTGCAAATCCAAGCAAGGAAGGTTAAATGATGTGTCCAAGGTGCTCTCCAAGGTCACCTGAGGATTCGAATGGAGGAAGCTCATGCACACTTTCCCCACCTCAGTGCTCACCAGGTCTATAAAATGCACATTTTATTGGTTTTCTACAGTACTTACCCAGGTGCCTTATGTGCCACAGGGGGTTGATTGTGGAGTATTTCCCATGAAACACGATCAGCATTGGGGAGGTGGCCACCCCTCCTCCCAGGGAACTGCTGTAGAGATTTTCCCTAAGGGAAGGAATAGAAGAGCATCATGTGGCCTGGAGCCCCACAGACTCAGAGAAAGTAGAATCTAATCATTTTTTAAAATGCAGGACAGTCCCTTACTATAAAATAAGATTATGGTCTTTCATTTTCCCCCGACTTTGGATTTTGAAAATTGTCAAGCCTACACAAAGTTGTAAGCAGAAAACCATGAACTTCCATGCACTTCCCCTAGTGTGAATATTTTGCCTTTTAATTCTCAGGCTATTTTATAGCAAACATAGAAGATCACATTCTGATCCTCCATTATTTAGAATAAGTGTATTTACAAATTCATTTATGATGGTATTAAAAAATTCTAGGAAAAAAAGGCAGGACAGGAAATACAATGACATGATCTCAGTAATTGTGTTAGAGTTAATCTCTCTAAACCTCAATATGAAAAATGATACATTTTAAAAAATTCAACCCTAAGAAGCCAAGTTGACTTCATAAAATAACCCCTGAAAACAAATCTGTGTAAGAAGGAGAGACTCGACTAAGATAAACGATACTCAGTGGAAACCGTTCACTCGGATTCTGGGAGAAGATTGGAAGTCACATCATTAAACAATTTCCTAGAAAAACGTTTCTATTATAAGGATTCCGCAGGATCTCGCTTCCTCTGACGTATCACTTGAGAATACATTTTCATCTACTGCCCCGTCTCTTTCTGACCTAAAATGTCTATAAATATGTATAACCCCCCGAGCTATGCCGAGATTGACGGGACAGTTTGGTCCCCCGAGGCGGGAGGGCCGAGCCTGCGCACTCCACGTTTCTCTGCATCCACTGCTCCAGCTGCCTGGTGATGCGCTGCTGCTTCCACTCGGTCATGTTGGCCACCATCACGCCCGGGTTGAAGGAGCACGTGCTGGGGCTTATGCCGAGGTCTTTCACCGCCTGCTTGCGGTAGTCCAGGTAGCCCATGTACGTGTTCTGCCAAGGGAGCGGCGTGCATGCAACATGGAAAAGGAAAGGGTCATTTTCTTGGGACCACTGGGAGGTGTCTGGCTTTCCTCCTGTCACTGGCCACATCCTGGTGTCCTTGTGTCCCAGCTTCTGAAACCTGGGCACCTCGGGCCTCATTTCCCTTCTTGGGACTCCCCGACCGCCGCCTCCAGTGGGGTGGCTCTGAGTGCCACCCGGGGAGACGAGCTGGCCCCCCTGTGGATTTCCCACCCCTGCGCCATCCGCCAACCCAGGGCCTCCTTCCCGATGCCTAGCGAGGCGGCTCCACTTATGCCCAAGAGTGTTCTGATCCCATCCCTAACGTGCCTTCCTACAACCCGCCCTGTCTCGGTTAGTGGCAGTAACTGAGGCAAAAACACACACAAAACACCAGGGTTATTAGGTTATCCTTCACTCCTCTTTTTCACTCACTTTTCATCCATATCTGTCAGCAAATCCTGTCGGTCCCATCTCTCAAAATATACCCAGAAGCCAAGCACATCCCTCTGCCTCCGCTGCTGCCGTCTAGTTCAGGCCGTAATCACCGCTCACTGGATTCCTGCAAGTTCCTCCTAACCGGCCTTCCTGCCTCTTTTACCCCTTTCAACCCCACCCTGTCTCCATGTTACTCATCTGCTCCAAGCCCCTCTAATGCCTTCCCGTCTCTTTCAGAGTAAAAGCCAGAGTCCCTAAAATGGCCTGGCCTGCCCCGCCCTGCCCTACACCATCTGCTCGCCAGCTTCCATTACTCTCCCTCTTGATCCCTCTGCCACGCTGACCTCCTTGTTCTTTAATCCACCAGACACACCCCTGCCTCAGGACCTTTGCACTTGCTGTTGCTGCTTCTTGGAATGTCTTTCCCCTGCTTAGGTGGGTCCTTTCATTCTTTCAGGTGGAGGCTCACAACGCCACCTCAGTGGAGCCCTCCATGATCACCTTATTTAAAATACAGCCCCACCTCCACCCCGATCCTCTGTTGAGTATTTTACTTGTCTTCCCACTAGAAAATAAGCTACACCAAGGCAGGAATTTTAGTTTTGTTTTGGTATCATTAGTACCTAAGACAGTGTCAGGCACATAGTAAGCACTCAGTGCATAGCTGGATGAATGTAACAGCAGGCAGGACATATTGATTCACCCCCACGGGCTGCCATGATCTACCTCAGTGGGATGCTCAAATATGACATGGAAGTAACAGAAATACTCGAGCACTTTCTCCGTGCCAAGCACTGTTCTAAGAACTGTACACAAGACCTCATTAATCACATGCCATTACTTCACGTGTATGAACTAATTAATTCTCACAATGACTCTTCTTGTATTTGACAAATAAAGGAAAAAACAGTTAAGTAACTTGCCCAAGGTCACAAAGCTACTAAGTGATGAAGCTGAGATCTTGACCAAGTCGGGTCTGGCCGCAGAGCTTAGGCCTTAAAAGCGTGTCACACCTTCAATGTCACACATTTAAAAATTATCCCCTAGAACATTTTTTGAAGAATGGTGTTCAATTCTTAGCACCTTGTATTTTACGGCCGTTCTTTTGGTTTCAGTATGACATATAGGTTCGCCTTTTCTCATTTCTACCAGGGTAAGGAGCTCTTTACCCTTGAACAAAAATCAATATTTTCCTCTACTGAAAGGGGGGAAAGCAGCAGTTAAAACTCTGAAAACAGAACCAAAGACTCAGCAAATCTCTTTTACAGAAAACACCCGCTCTGACCGAGAGGGAGGCTAAGAGTGGCCTAGATAACTGTAATTTCTGGTGCATTTGCTACAGGCCGAACACGTGGACAACACGTTATTTCACCACAGCCCACAAAACACGACAACATAGACACTATTGTTGCCATGTTTCAGATAAGGGAAGTGGCTCTTGCAGGGTCCAGTAACTTGGCCGGGAGTCTGTAAGGAGTGGAGCTGGGGTGTCAATCGGGAGCCCGGGGCCTGGGGCTCTGCCCCCAGCAATCCAGACGGCGGGCTTCCCGGGTGTAGCTCACACCCATCCTGCGTGGCGGGCGGGGAAGTGTGAGAGCGCAGGGCGCAGGCAGGGTTTCTGAGGCAGCGTCTCACCTGCAGCCCCACAAGCCTGTGCCTGTCCTGAAACGAGGGCAAATCGCAGTCATCTGAAAAGGCGGCCGCGTGGCCCAGGGCCAGGGTGGTGTCATAAAGTTCTTGGATATCACCTGCATTTAGAAACACCAGGAGTTCAGATAGCGCAGCATTAGTTTTAGGGCTGAATAAAGCCGCGGAGCTTAAACTAACCCCTGATTTTGCTACGGGTGAGAAGTGTGCGATCCCTGATTTCATGTGGCGTGGCAATTTGCTTAATAAGAACAGCTCAGATCCATTTAGAAAGCCACTTGATAAGGAGCTCAGCTGGGCATTGGCCAAATGTCTTTATTTCTATTGATACGTAGGTACCACACCAATGCTTATCTTATTTGCGTTTAATATGTTTTTTTAATTGATTTCAGAGAGAAACATTGATGTGAGAGAGAAACATTGATCGGTTGCCTCTCATAAGCATGGGAAGACGCTCAACCAAGGGAGCCACATGGGCCCTGGCTATCTTATTTGTATTTAAATACCAAAACTGAGCTCACTTCTAAGATAGTCAGTGAGACTATCTCTCCCCTACGTTTTAGGGGTGCACAGAAAGGAAAAGCTACCAAGCTATTTATCTCAGACTTGGACCATCTGAGAGTGGCTCTCAAAAAGGGAGCTGGACTGTCCAGGGAAGTGCTCATCAACCCCTGCTTTCAAAATATCCCTGAGTTTACAGCAATACTACACTCCCAACTCGAACAGGCAGGAAAAGTCACTGGGCAGCTACTTGAAAAAATCAAGAGAGACAGTCATTCTACTCAGGGGCTCCTCTTCCAAGTGGTCTTGGCCGTCGGCGAGTGTACCTTGTACAATGACATCATCGTCCAAATAGATGACTTTTTCATGCCGATGGATAAGCAGAGGCAGGTAAAACCGAACGAAGTTCAGCTGTGGGAACAACAAAAGAAACAACGGTGGAGGAGAGGCCCGTGGCTCAGTGTCTCCCAGGGGTGCTGGTGGGTCGGCCCTGCCCGTGGCCTCGGCTCAGTCCCAGGTTTGGAGCAGATAAAATGGGGGCTGCGGAGATGCCCTCCCCGGGCTCCTGGTGCCCGACTACTCTGGGCCCGGGGCTGAGCCCAGCACTGGGCCTAGATCCAGTCCCCCACTTCTCAGACTCCACCACTTTCACCTCTGTGAATTGTTGCAGTGGGAGTCAAGGGGATCCCTTGTTAACCTTTTAAGCCACAAATTGCCTGTCACTCAGTAATTTGACTACTGTTAACTAAATCAGCCTTACACACACACACACACACACACACACACAGAGGCATCATCTCCAACAATAAGCTCAACCTCTTAGCTCCTGGAACCAGAAAAAAGTCAGAAAAGCACTGGCTGAGGGTGAGAGTTGTATTAGCCACAACACGGCTTCATCCAAAGTCCCAGCTCAGCTCACGCTCCAATAACAAATATCTGGAATTACGGACCGGTCATGTTGTTAGTGGGCTTAGAATTTAGTACGTTTTCAAGGATGGATTTAAGCAACAATTATACATAGACGGTGGCTACATTTTCTGTAAATTCGTCATTAACGCCACTCTTTATGCGGGAGAGAGTCGGTCCCTGTTGTAAGAACTCTTACTGTGAAATACCTTAAGATTCCAAAGCTCCGGGAAGAGCTGGGGTCTTCTGAAAATATCTTAGTTGATACTAGGGAATATATGATCGTTATGCTAGCGGTTTTCTTTGGCTGCTGGGAGACTCCAAGGTAAACGTTATTGCCAATCACAGTACACACAACAGCCCATGGGGCTGGGAATATTTTTTCCTGGCCTCACTGCTTGGCCTCTGCCCCCACCCCGCAGGCATATGGGGGGTGGGGGTAGAGTTTAGTATATAAATCCCGATTTTTCCCCCCATCTGGTCTGGTTTAAATCTTTCCTTTATTATTACTATTATTATTATTCATATAACTTTTCTGCAAAGGAAATAAAACAAAATAGTAATAACCAAATATCTCCCCAGATCCACGCATTCTCCACAGACATAAATACGCCCTACATTTTCTGAAGCTTCATTTCTTCTTTAATAACTCTGTCATGTTTGTGTAAGCCATCTTGAACCCTTTCTGGAGCGGTGGCTTATGAATTACAAACGAGCAGAGTTCGGTGGAGATCTAACAACCGTGAGGCCTCAGAGCCCTTCCGTCCGCACCCCGGGGGCTAGAACTCCACGCTGGACGGGGCTCACCGAGGACCTTGCCCAGCGCACGCGGGCCCCTACTCACCGGCTGGAGCAACTCGGGCCTCGACGAGTCTGGCCTGATCTTCCCTTTGAGGACCATGGGGTTGAATTCCACGACTTTAAAGTTTATTTCTCTCAGTTTAGAATGTTCAATCCATTTTCTAAAGAGATGACCAAAAAAACCCCAAAACCTCTAGTATATACCTCAAACTGCCCGTTGCTTCAATCTGTTGCCTCCTTAGAAAGTTAAAAATAAAATGTGTGTAACCGTAGTAGAGTTTAGTATATAAATCCCGATTTTTCCCCCCATCTGGTCTGGTTTAAATCTTTCCTTTATTATTACTATTATTATTATCATATAACTTTTCTGCAAAGGAAATAAAATAGTAATAACCAAATATCTCCCCAGACCCACGCATTCTCCACAGGCAACTGGAAGAACGTAACATGTACCCCGTTTCTTAAAAAGCAGCATCTGCAGTTGCTGGTACCATCTCTGCCCCATGTTAACAACTCTGTAGCGTTATGAAGTGGGACACTCTCCACCCTCCTAGGTGACTGAAGTCACTCTTACCCTGCTGTGTTCTATGCCCATTTTTTATTACATGCTTGCGTGTTTAAAAAATTTTTTGTATGAATTCTTTACATATTTTGGGTAGTAATCTTCTGTCTATAATACATGTTGAAAATGTTTTGTCTAATCTATTTTAAACACTTTTTTATAGTGTATAAAATTTAAAAGTTTGTAAATGTTATACAGGCAAATCTGTCAGTTTTTTCCTTATGATTTTTGGACTCAGGGAGTCACTCTCCATACCAAAATTATACAATTATCCTACATTTTTATAATACATTTAAAATTTGATTTTCTGTTTATTTTTTCTCAATCCAGCTCCAATGTATTTCTTAGTATGGTGAGTGATATGAATGATATCACTTTGTAGTTCAAAGATTATAATTAGTGATGATTCTGAGCCATATTAAAATGATTATATTATACTAATATTCTTTCAGGTTAAGAAAGCAAATAAAAGAGAAACCATTTCAGGGAGAAAGACTTTCATATAAACTGCTTAAGGATTGGGGTTCTTTTAGTTCATGAGACCATTCAGTTGTGCAGAATGACACACTGCCCTGCCAGATTAGTGAGGCTTCCTTACTAAAATTCCATAGCGAGGCAACACATTTGTCAGGTCACAAAGTAAAATAAACCTCAGGTCATCCCTTCTTAATTCGAATGACATTTCTCAAATGAGAAAAAAAAAGAAGGAAATCTATTTAGAAGGAGAGATAAGAAAGATCGAAAGAAAGTAGAAAACTCCAACGTCTCTAGTACACGACTTGCCGTATTCTCGACAGAGTGTTCCGGAGCCCAACTACATAGAACAAAATGTTGGCGTCGGTGTTGCTGTAGATGCTGTTGATGGCGGCCATCGCGGCCCCCATCCTCCCTGCCGCTGCACAGATCACAACGGGGATCTCATCTTCCAGCTCCTCAGGGGTCTCGGAGTCATCCTCTGGAAACATCAAAATCAGAGTCTTGGAACATGAAGGAATTTCACAGTGGAGTCAGTTAAACTTGCCTCCCACACTCCCCGGGGAAGGCGGCCTAGTGTGGGAGAGGCTGCCGACCGTTCTCCAATAGCCAGCCTTTCCTAATTCCCAGAAACAGGACGTTGGGATTTTAGCTGGCACATCGCCAACTGCTAAGACTATTTTTCCAGACTCCCTTGCAGCTCTATGCCATCAAGTTCCGAAGAGTGGGATATTAGTGCAAGTAATGTGTGCAACTACTGGGTTTGATTTTATAAGAAATTTGCTTTCCCTCCCTTGGCTGGAGTGTTGATATGATGGCAGCCACCTTGGGCCGCAGATGGGAGCTCCCTGTTGGGGACACCAACACCATAAGACAGCAGGGATCTTGCTCAAGTCTAGATGACTGTGGAACTGACACCTCAGACTGTCACTTGAGAGAGAAAATAAACTTCTATTTTGCTTAAGTCACTATTTTTGGGGGGAGGGATGGGGAAACTCTCCTACAGAAGCCAGTTGGATAACCTAACATATGCACACAGTTGAAAAACATGTGAAGAACTGAAGAGCCTCATTTGAATCAACAAGTCCTCAACTCCTCAACTTTTTTTCCTGAATTGGAATATTTACCTCGCCTACGCTGCCATGAAATGTACTGCTTGTGATCTTCCTTCCCTTATCCACGTTCTAGTTAAGTGTCTCAAAAGTTGACAGAAAGAGAAAGAAGGTACATGAAAAGCATGACTAATATGCAAAATCGACAATTGATCACTCTTTTGAGCCTTGGCGATCATATAAAATACTGATAACACATACATGTAGTATTTTAAAACTGAAATGAAATCATACTTTTTATGGTCTTCTGCAACTTTCTTTTTCCATTCAACGAACCATGGGCATCTTTGCATGTCAGCATTACATTCTTTTGAATGGTATTTCATAACTGGTTTTATTTTAACACTGAATAGGGTAAAAATTGTGATTTTGGATCCACTCATGTGGTCCAAACCCTGTGTCAGCACATAGCTGATTGATCAGCTGGGGTGTGCACTTCCTTAAAGTTGTTTAACAGCTGTTATCAAAGCTATTATTTCATTCCACAGAGAAAGGAATGTGGTGGGATCAGCTGTTCAAATGCGTTGGTTTATGGGCAGGGAATGAAATGTGAGGAATCAAAAACTTAAAGTTCGGGCAACATTTGACCTTGTATGACTTCCTTTCTCTCTCTTTCAAAAATTTAAAATTATTTATTGATGAGAGAGAGAGAAGCATTGATTCGTTGCTCCACTCACTCATGTATTTGTTAGTTGACCCTTGTATGTGCTCCAATGGGGGATCAAACCCGAAACCCTGGCACTTTGGAATGACACTCCAACCAACTGAGCACTCCACTGTATGGACTGACTGTGTTCTGTTCATCTCTTCACTATTCATCTGCTGTGGATTGTTTCCAGGTTGGGGCTCCTATGAGTGATGCCCTACAAACCTGTGCACACATGTCTGTGTAGAAATTACGTTCTTTCCAGATGCTCCTGCTGTTGATTTAAACCAGATTATACATATTCTTAATTGTTTTTAATGAATTTTTATATTAAGAAAAAAGCCAGCTTTGTGAGAGCAGGTACATGGTTTTGCCCATTTTTGTGTGCCCAGTGCCTAACTATCTGGCTTTTTTTTAAAAAGTGTGGAATGAATGTGTGTGAAGCACCAAAATAGGAACCGAGTTTGTATTTGATTAATACAGCTATGGGTAATATTTTTCTCTTCTGTATTTTCCACAAATGAGTGTATTTACTTGGCTAATATAAATAAGTAACTTAGTTAAAAATATCACAAACACACTACCAGTGCTTCCTAATTTTTGTGGGAGTTGACTGTGTGTTTTGTGGCTGCACAGATGCCCTCTCACACAATCCCCCCTCGAGGAGGGAAGCGGGGCTCCTCTTGCAGCTGGAAGAAGATACGGGGTGAATGCAGGATCTTTTTTTAAGTTGACAGGTATGAGGCCATTTGTGCACTGATGAGAATGAACCAGCAAGGAGAAGAGAGAGGGCAATTTTCATAAGCAAAATCATCGAGACTGCAGCGGGATGGAAGGGGAGCAGGCCGAGCAACATCCGGCCCGGGAACCAGCAGTGTCGGCATCCACCGGGAGCTCACGGGAAATGCGGAATCTCAGGCCATGCCCTAGGCTCTGACCCAGCACCTCTCTAGGTGGGACACCGATATTCTAGGACACGACTGAAAACTTGGCCTTGGGTGGATATTCAAGCAGGTCCTCGGGGCTGACCAAATTGTCTCTGGACCCAGCTATTGAAAGGACTCAAAGGAACATATTTAAACTGAGTTTCTAGGTATCCCAGGTTGATGAATAACCCCTGTTTTTTAAAAAATGGGGGGGCCTAGGTGGAGGGAGGATTTGGGGGGGAAATAGGGGACATCTATAATAATGTCAACAATAAAAAATAAACTTAAAAAATATAGTTTTAAAATTGTGGTAAAATACACAATATAAAATCTACCATCTTACCCATTTTTAAGTGCACTGTTCGGTGGTATTAAAGACATTTACACTGTTGCCCAACCACCTCCACCATGCAGCCCCATAACTCTCTTCACCTTGTAAAGTTGACACTCTTCCCGTTAAGCAGCAACTCCCCACATCCCCTTCCCCTCGGCCCCCGGCAGCCACCATTGTGCCGTCTACCTTGATGATTTTCACAGTCTAAGCACCTCACCTAAGAGCAGCCATGCGCGGTTTGTCTTTTGTAACTGGCTTATTTCACTTAGCGTACCTGCTTCTTTCTTGAGCACCTTCTCCTTGTGAACTTTCTTGTACAGAATCCCACAGAGGGTCACAATCAGAAGGAACAGCAACACCTGATTAACTGAAATTAAAAACAAACAAACACATTCAAGCTCAACCTATGGAGCTGAAGTTGTGGAAAATTTAGGAGCCATGTAAGGAGCTGCCTTTCCTGACATACGCAGGAGTGGTGGTCTGGGGCCTTTCTTTGAGCAGTTGGCACGCACAGTAAAGAGTTAGCCTGCGATTCTGTTGATATTCAAGGATACTCACTAATGATTCAAGGATACTCACTCCTTAAGGAGGATCCAGGGATAAATAACCCCAGGCGGTCGGATGGCAGAGGCTTAATGACTATATGATCCTGCCTTTTCCATGCATGAACTGTGTTCAGAATAATAGCCAACATTTATATAACACTCATGATGAACCAGTACTTAGAATATGTGTTCTTAGCCGTTAGAGCCCAGCTACCTCTCAGTTCATTCAATCACTGGTCAAGGGTGACATGCAGAAAATGTTTGCCAGGGGGGAGAGGTTG